TATCTTCTTAGGGTTGGGCTCTATACCTCGTTGGGTGACTATAAAACCCAAGAATTTTCCTAAGGTGACCCCAAAGGTGTATTTGGTGGGGTTCAACTCCATGTATTTTCTTAGTACTCCAAATGTCTCGTTGAGGTCCGAGGTGTGTTGGTTAGACCTAAAACTCTTCACAACCATGTCATTTACATAGGCCTCGGCGTTCCTCCCCATCCACTCTCTGAAAATCTTGTTCACCAGTCTTTGGTAAGTGGCCCCTACGTTATTCAATCCAAAAGGCATCATCTTGTAGCAGTAGGTGCCATGCTCGGTGATGAATGAGATCTTTTCCTCGTCAGCCAGATGCATCCTTATCTGGTTATAGTTGGAAAAAGTGTCCATGAAGCTTAGTAACTCGTACCATGTGGTGGCATCGACGAGGTGATCAATCATTGACAAAGGAAACACGTTAGTATTTGGCTTTGAGTAATGACCATACCCACGCTTAGTAATGTCCACGAAGCTTAGTAACTTGTACCCATGCTCAGCCTGTGAGTAATGACCGAGGGGTCAATTCTTGGCATATCAACGGCGGACCAAGCGAACATGTCGGTATTGGCTTTGAGGAAGCTTAGTATTTGGGAAAGTATCTCCTGAGGTATGTGAGACCCGACTCGTACAGTTTTCTCAGGCTTGGCCTCATCTAGGGGAACCGTGATAAGGTCTTCGGCCAAATGGCCTCGGCTAGACGGTTTGTCCTTTAGGTTGAGCCCCTCCAGTGGTAGGGTTTCCTTGTTCTTGCCTTTTAGCGCCATAATATAGCACTATCTGGCAGGTTGTTGGTTTTCCTCTAACCACCCTTACACCATGCTCTGTGGGGAACTTCATGGCAAGGTGGTGAGACGAGACAACCGCCTTTGAATGCGTGAAGGGTCATACTCCCTATGATGACATTGTAAGTTGAGCCTATTTGCATAACCAAGAACTCAGTCATCCAAATGACGTGCTGAGATTCAGTCCCTACAGTGACTGATAGGGTTATTTTTCCTTCGAGTCTAATAGCTGCTTCGGAGAAGCCGATGAGTGGCACATTAGCAGGCTACATTCGGTCTGGTATTAACTGCATCTTATCAAACGTCTCATAGAATAGGATGTCGGCTGATGAACTATTGTCTATGAGGATCCTTTTCACCATGTAGTTGGTGATGGTCATTGACACCACCAACATATCATCGTGGGGCACAAATAGTCCTTGTTAGTCGTTGTTTGAGAAGGAAATGAGGTCTTCCAACCTCGGCCTCTTCGGTTCTAGACTTTGGATGTTGTATTGCCAGGTGTATGCTTTCTAAGATGAGGTAGATGCTCCCCCTAAAGTCGAGCCTCCAGCTCTGACTTCAATGACTTCGGCTAAGGGGTGATGATTGCAGGGTTCGGCATGTGGCTGTTGCGAGGATGACGTTGAGGCATCGCCTTAAACAAAATCCTTTAAGTGCCCACGGTGGATGAGGGACTCGATCCCGTTCTTAAGCTCATAACAGTCTTCGGTGTCGTTGCCGGTGTCATAGTGGTACTTGTTGTACTTCTTGGGGTTCCCCATTCTCAGGTTCCTCTTCAACTTAGTCAACTACTTCATGAATTCTTCCTTCCCTACTTGCATCAGTATGCGCGTTCAAGAGGAGTTTAACGACGTGTGCATATTGAAGGAAGGGGTCGACGACTTCTTCTCTCCACCTTTGTTGGTCAGACTGTCACCACGGAAATCCCTTTCCTTCATCTTCTTGTCGTTGGGCCCTCGGCTAGCCTTGATTTCCGATTCTTGGAGGCATTTATTAGCTTTGGCCTCTTCGTCGGCCATGTACTTTTGAACTTTTTTCAAGAACTTGACTTTAGTCTTGGGTAGTCTTGGAAATAGACCAACTGAGGGGTCCAGGCCAAAGGCCACTGATGGCCGTGTGCATGAACCATGAAGGCCGAGGGGTCGAGGTCCTTAACCTCAAGTTCTTCCTGGTTAAACCTCTATATATATGCCTGAAGGCTCTCCCCATGCTTCTTGACAGACATTAGGGAGATGATGGTTTTTTGACATCGTCGGCTGCTCATAAAGTGACTTAGGAAGAGGTTTGCGAACTGTTCCTAAGAGCCGATGGAGTGCGGAGGCAGTATGGAAAACCATCAGTGCGATGCTCCCTTGAATGTAGCTTGGAAGACTTAGCACATGAGGGTGCCAGAGTATCCATATAGGAGAATGAGGGCCCGGAAGCTTTCTAGGTGGTCCTCAGGGTCTGCACTCCCGTTGTAGGTCTCCAATGCTAGGGCCTTGGAGTTTGGCAGAAAGGGCTCGGAGAGGATGGAATCTACGAGCACCTCCATTTGATTGGATGAGGCAGGGAAACTAGTGGAGGCATCACCTTGGCCCTCCTTTACTTGCCAAAGCTGGTCTTAAATGGCGCTAATCTATACCTAAATATCTCTGAAGCATTGGTTGATGTATGGCATCAACGCTTCGGCCTGGTCCTGGTTCTCTCTCATGCAGGATGGGTTGGCCCTGCTCCTGGAGTGCTCGAACACTGGCACATCTTAAGCCTTGTGGGCACGGAAATTGTTGAGGAGGTTGCAAAGGTCGGAAACTGGTGGGGGAGAGGTGTAGCACCCTTGGAGGGGGACTGTAGTGGGCCGAGGGCCCACCATTGTCCCGATTGGTCGACGCGTGATGGTATTGATGGCCAAGATTCTTGTGCTCGGCGTGGGACCCCATGGAGTCGACCCCTCGATTGGGGAGCTATGGGGTCTTGGAATGAGGTCTTCCAGCCCATCGGTTGCTGTTGTTTGACTCTGAGGGGTTGACTCTCTCCAGGCTGCCCAAGCGTTGGCTTAGAGTGGTATGGGCAGATCGCTCGCTGTGTTGTCCATGGCTTTCGATGGGGCGGCCACCCTGTGGGTGGCTTCCTATTGGACGCCCTATATTGTCCAATTGTTGGGCTAGGTTGCCTAGCCTTTTGAGGACCAACTCGAACTGGTCAATCGTGAGTGAGTTTCAAATGCCAAGGATAAGGTCTTGCTTGTCAGCCATTTCAGGGACACTAGTTGATTAAATTAGGCTTGTTTTTTCTTAAGGGAATGTTTTGAAGACATTCCCCCAAATGACGCCAATTGTTCTTGCCAAATATGGAGCTAAGGGCAACAACATAATTTCTAGCATCCGAGGCTGACGGGTCCAACCTAATGAGAGAAAAAAAATGTTACAAGGATCAGACTAAGCAAGAGAGGATACTTAGAGTTTAAGTTCCAGATTTTTGCAATGTGGGAACCCCTTTTTATAATCGAAATTGCCTTAGAGGAGGAGCAAGTGAGACCAGGTTGGCGGCAGTTGGTGATGAACGGCCTGGATACATCCCGACAACACCACGTGTCAAATAGCATGGTTTTTACAAACAAACCGGTCAGGGGTCCGGTTACTGGTTCGAACAGTCCGACCGTTCGACCTGAACGGCTGGCCCATTCTAATAAAACAAATTAAAAAATTAAAAAATTGAAAAATGGTCAAAACCGTTTGAACAGTTAACCGGCTGGTTCAGCGGTTTGCTGACCAAAATCAACAGTTTTGAGGGAAAAAGCGGTTTTGAAGGAAAACAGAACTAGTCAGGTGACCGATGACTGGTTTTTTCGGTCCAACCGTCCGATTCGATCCAATTTTGAAAACAGTGAATAATAGTACAAACCTTGCTGTGAATATGGCCTTCATATCAGCTTTTCTTCTTGCTTGGATCCCTACGTATAAGAGCGTTGACCTCCCCAGACCCCACATTTTCTGAAATTTAATTAAAAAATAAAATTGCTCAACACATCACTAGTTAATTCAAATTCTTCATTTATTAAGACAATGGTCTTGCATTTTTTTATTCTATTAGTTTACAAATAACAGTGTAGTTTGTAATGTCAAATTCATACAATGTCAATTATATTACTTGCTGATAACTAATATGTTAACTAGTTACTTTGTACGTGATAATTTTTTATGATAACAATGATAATAAATAATATGTTTCTAAAATTTACAATTTAACTTTATTAAATATTTAGATGGGCTCCATACATCACTTTATATTGCCTTGATATGGTAGATTGTTGAGTTTACCCACCATTTCTCTCCCTCCAACTTCTGCAATTAATGCAGATACCCTCGAAGAAAAGCTCGGCTTATTGCAGGTTATTTTCTCAAGTTACATCAGTCGTTATTTCAATACTATTCAAATTTAGAATGATCTCTTATTCAAACTAGCCGTTATAAATACTATTAAGATAAAATCGGTTTATAATTTCATATAATGTTCACCATTTCATTACTAAAGGTTGACTGAATTCAGCACCACGAAAATGGATTTAATAATACAAAGGTGAGAGGAAGAATCGGCACTTCTTTTTGTGGGGTTCAAAAGAATTTCCACTTCTTTTTATACTTTTTAAGTATTTAATTAAAACTGAAATTTCAACGATACCCCTTTTAGTAGGGAGGTCGTAACCAGAAGGGCCATTCGGCTTGTCAACACCATACTGCTTTCATATGAAGCAAGTATTAAAAGAGATCAAGTTCATTCTTCAGTAGACATTACTTAATCAACATAACGGATGTTATCAATAAGCTTGAAGTTTGCTAACTTGTAACAAATATTGACAACTTTAAGAATGCTGGTCTTGAGCAACTCAGAATATAACCCTACTTAAAAGTACAGGAAACTCAAATTAAAAAAATAAATAAATAAGGTTTCAAACTATAAGAGCAATGATTTAAAACATGGTAGGCAACTCCTTATGTAGATCAGGTAAAATGGTCTTTGGACTTGGTGTAAAAACATCTAAGCAAGTCTCCTAAGCCATGATCTCCCCAACAGAGAACATAAGAACTCAGCAATTTCAATCAACTCACAGGAGAATATGTGAAAAATTCATAAGCAGAATACAACAATTGTAACATGATGAATTTGATGATGAGTGATTAAAAATTGCAGAAAAAGGAAATCAATGAATGCACATCCAATAACAAGCCTGCCATTTTCTCAGGCATTATATAGAAATAATTGTCAGTAAAATTTAGAATACATGTTTGATGGGTCAGTCATCTATCTTCTCGTGGTTCACAAAATAATTTGAATTTAATGCAATAAGAACAGTAAAAGAATGTAAATCCTACAATTTAATTACACTAAAGAACTGAGATTATTCACATAAATAACACAGCTTCACCCAATTTCAACAATCATGCCCTCAAGAGAATTAATCATCACTCCAGTTATCATCACCTCCTTCATCACTTCCCACAAAGGCCTGCATTTTTTTACATTGTCATAAAATAATGTTTTTGAAGAAAAGAACAGTGAGTATATTGTATCAAGTATAAAATCAAAAGTATACAAGAAAAGGAAGCAAGTAAATGAAGAAAAAAAAAAGAAAGAAATAAGAATAGGAATAACCTGGCGGATTGCATTGGCCTTCTCCAATATTGCAGCAACTTTCACATTGGTAGTGGGACCTGGTGAGAAGTTTGGTCTTGTAGATGTTGTACGCCTCAGGTTGAATGACTGCACATTTAACCAGAAGAGTAAGCATATAGAAATTACAGCTTAGATTCTCAGTTGTTTACACATCATTATCCCCTCCTGACATAGTTCTAAGTTCTGATTAAGAAAAAACTAGAAACATGTTTACTTCGAAGACCAAGAACTTTTGACTTGTCTGCATGGACAATTTGCACCCACGGACCACATTCCTTCAATCCTCATATAAAACATATTCTAGGAGATCATCAGTGGCAATGCTCTTAACAAAGAAAACAAACACACACACACAAGTTGTTGGATATCCCTTATGTGTCAAAATGTCATGAGTGCCTTATTTTCACTCAGAAATTTCCATTTAATTTTACTTTTATATTTAATTGTAATATTTACACATCTCTCTAGATAAAAATGAAAAACATAGCTACACACCTTGGCTCTGATTTGTTGTAGTAAATCTTCCCTTTCATCTACTTCCTTAATGTGCCCATCCTGCCTAGATTCTTTGCATCCGTTCAACTTCTGCTGATCCTGATGTATGCATAGATTATATATCAAAAACTAAAACATGGCTGCAATGAAACAAGGGCCTAAAATACAATCATCACCTTGTTGTTTGGTGGACATACGATAGCCTCTTTAATATGTGGTAGCTTTGGTGGAGCAGGCACTGTTGGCTGTGAAGATTTGTTTTGAAGAATATGAAGATTATTTGGATGAGTATTGACCTCAGATAACGTCCCTCGGTTATCTTCTACCACATCTGGGTGGGGTTTCACCACACACCATTGCAATGGTGGGAGTGGAGGCGGTGGTGGTGGTGGTTCATGAGGATTTTGCAACCTTGAATCTGGGAGATGATTCTGTTCAGAATCACTTTTCCTTTCTTTCTGATCTATTGAAGGATCCAGAGAATCAAGACTTGGAAGATCAAGTGAAGGAGCTAAATGAAAAGGTCTTTCTCCATCTTTAATATCTGGATTTTTCCAGTTGATATTAGGATACATGTTTCCATGTGATGCTCCATCCAGTTCAAAGGAGCTTGATATAGATTCGGCTGATGAGACTCTATGTAAAGCATCGTATAGCTCATGGTCCTTATTTCCTGGCATTTCACCAGATTCCCACTGCTCAGAGTTTGATTCAGAGCAATGACTAAGATCATCAGGCATATATGGAGATGATCGACAGAATGTATCATCATCAGACTCAGAACCAGAATCCCTCTGAGGAATAATAGCAGGCTCTGGAAGCAGTTGGAATGAAGCAAATATGTGATCTCTAATATCTTCATTAGGACAATGCCTATCAGGAAATTTCAGTCTCAACTTGGATGTTTCAGAGTTATTTATAGCGTGGAAAGAGATCTTCATATGTTCAAGTGGTGGTGAAGATGGAAGAGAGTATGCAAATGATCCAGAATTCTGCTTTTCTCTGATGGTTCTGTCAGGAGACGTTTGATGTGCAACTCTGAGCTGTCCTTTCTTCTGTTCATGGCAAATAGGTTCCTGCAACTTCTTTTGGAAACCATTCACAAGTAATTTATGACCAAGGCTGAAAACAGTAGATGTACTCTTGATATTTTCTTGACTGGTTTCGCCTGAAGGGGCTTTGACTTCAGAAGCAACAGGTAATTCAGCTCCAGTGGTCATGACAGAATTTCCTGTCATGGGTAATTCCAAGGAATCCTTCCTGAACATATCATTATTTTGCTTATTGTGGCAGTATGTGGAGCATTCAGTAGGATCAGTTGTTTTTGTTTGGTACTCGTTTCCTGTTCTAATCAGTTCATCTGGAAGATCAGTGGGATTACTAGTACCATGTGGTCCATACTTTTCCCCCACAGAGTTTAGATTCTTTTCTCTTTGTTCAGGGGTCTTAATTAATGTATCCAGTTTTCCTGAAGAGCTATCAGAATGGGATATGGGCCTAATGGTTTCTTTACTGGCAGATATGATATTTTGATTCGAAATATTTGAAACATTAAAATCTGGGGGTTTTGAAGGCTCTAGTCCCAACAGGCCACCATTTGTCCAAAACTGAACCAAAGGTGCACCAGAAACTTCGGCATAAGACTCTTGGAACTTGGATGATTTGTTAATAATGTTATCACTCAATTGGGCCTGTGAATTGAGAATGCAGGAGCTAGGGGGTGATGGACCACTTACAACTTCAAAACTATTTACTCTAGAGACACTAATGCTATCAATATGCTCATACAAATCCGTGTTTTCTGAAACCTTCATGTTAGCAGATGTGCTCAAGTTAGGAGGTGGCTGTACATGGGTCGTGACCTCTACAGAATCCACATTTGAAAAATTTTCAGACATTTCCTTGTTATGAGAATTGTAGGATGCAGTATGAGATTGAAGATCAGATGAATCAGAATTTTGAGTAGTCATCTCATGCATTAAACCTGCTCCATCTCTGTTCTCTTTACCTTTTAAGTTGGACGAAGGTAGTTCAACTTCTCGTTTTGTCTGGCACTCTATATCAGTGTCAATTTCTGATTCCATAGTGTTTAGTGCATCCACATAGTTGTCTGGCTCGCTTCCAATCTCATCAATCTGGTTCTCACCATGGATTGCATCTGGTATATTTTCATCACCAAATGAAATATCTTCTCCATCCATATTTCGAAGGGATGAATCTGCTCTGGTTTCATCTGTCATATTTTCATCACCAAATGAAAAATTCACTGGATCAACATTCCCAAGAGAGGCAACCTTCTCCAGTGTACTTACATAAGAGCTTGATGGTAGCAATTCTAAATCTTCATCCTGGTTATTAACAATGCTGTCACACTGTTGAAATGTAGGTTCCATTATTTCTGTCTTCTCATCCCAAGTAACACAAGATGACTTAGGGGCACTTTGGACTTGCAATGACCCATGTGGGAAATCATCATCTAAAACTTCATCTTGTTCATCAGGAACAATAGAAGAATGGGCATTATTTGACTGCACCCTTAACCTAGAAGAGGATAACTCATAATGTTCTTGTTCTTCAGTTTGCATGGAAGGACTTCCAACAGAAACACATATATTGTTAGCTGACCTGGTTCTTGAACCAAAAGATGGATTTTCAAGGTCATATTTTGGTCCCGCATTGATATTGGTGATACTTTCACAAGGACTCTGCCTGTAAATGCTGGGAGAAGCCAACTGTGCTCTGCTTTACCAGACATCAATTGTTAAATTTTATTGAATTGAACTGAAAATGGAAATAATTATTCTTAAGTCAAACTATTCAAAAAATTAATAGACCCACAATAAATTTTTAATAGAAATGCTTTCTTTTCCAACTATGCTTGGTTTATATGCCTGCGAAAAGTTAAAAGAACATAAATACCTGCCATTGCAGCGGGATATTGACACTGTATGTAAGATTTCTCCATTCTTCTGTCTTAATCCCTTTTTCTGTTGAAATATTTTGCCGTAACAGTATAAGACATTTTCAATACAAGCTTGTAAAAATATCATAATTGAGTTTGTTCCTAAACAACTTATGTTGCAGGGAAATATACAACACAAACATTAATTTTTTTTTCCTTGAGAAAGGTGAAGTATGAATGTATTGATTAATATAAGAAAAAAGCCCCTGTTCAACTAGAGGCTGTACAATGGGAATACACAATCTGATCACTATAAACTAAGAAACCAGACCATCCTTACTAACTATTCACCACTTCAAAAAAAAAAATTGTGTAACTTTACTGTATTTCACAAATTGTGATTAGAAAGAAATGATAGAACATGATGATAAACAATTGAAGTCTACTAATCCATTTTAACAATCTTCAGCATGCATATCACAAGAACCCACTGTACCTCAAAATAGGACAAACCACCAAGTTTCTTCATAAGGGAGATAGATACCTTGTTCTTATGGACCTTTTTCTCTCTTTGGACCTTCTCAGCATTCTCTAATTCGGGGTTAGTCATCACCCTCTTAAAGTAGGATGGATCTGAATATCTTTTAAAACAAGCTCCAGGACCACCAGTATCAAATCTGAGAAGTAAATGATCTAGGTATTAATTTCTATAAATCAGTGAGAACCAAAACTCAATAACAAAAACATACTTGTCAAGCAAGTGTAGACGTGGTGGATCACGGCAGTCTTCATAAGAATCCAAAATATATTGTGGCAAGTAACTGTTGAGGTGATTTTGTTCAGTTTGTATATTGACATGCCAGTCAAAACCTGCAATGTAATTTCTTTTCACTAAGAACTTGAAATTTTTTGGTGAAGGGATATCAGAAATATGGAAATCTCAACTAAGTGAAGCGTGTCAAATTGTTCTTAACCATTCAAGACACCAAACAATTCCTCAGTTAACCTTTCATTGATTAATATCCATATCACCTTAAAGTATATGGTATAAGGGTGTATTTATATTCATAACTCAAGTTACTCAATCTACCTCCAGTTTATGGATTCAAAAGAATACAAAGAATTTGAAACCAGCAAAACAACTAGCAACCCTCAATAAATAGGGCAAAATTGTCACAACTGAAACTTTTTGCTGTATTTGGTTGCAAAGAGAATGGAAAAACATAAAAGTGACTTTCCCAAGTTTGATTGACAATGGAAAACAAAAATAGAAAAGAAATTTTTTTATTTTGAACTCTTCCTATTTTCCCTCCTAAAATATAGAGAAAAAATGGAGACATGAGAGCAAACATTACCAGCAGTGCTCTCTCACCCAATAAGTTTCAATTTTACTTTTTCTTTACTAAAAGGAAAGATGTAATCTCTGTTTTTTCTTTCCTCTTTAATTTCTATTTTCTTTTGCAAGCAAAGACAGTGTTAATGTCATCCTCTTGACTAACCCTAAATAGTGTAATCCGATATTCACTCAGGTTAATACTTACTCTTCTGGCCCCAAATATATTAACATTCTTTTAAAGCTTTTCCAGCCAATTCATATGGAATTTAGGACATTAAATGTGTAAAACTAGATGAAAGAATGCTAACAAAGTCCAAATGGACACAAATAACTTCAAATAAGAAAGACACTTTTATCACAATATAATTCAACTGAATGAAGCCTTAACAACAACTACTTGAGGTTGGCTACAATAATCCTTTCTTATTATTGCATTCTATCAAGAGACGCATCTTCTGTTATTCTTATTCCAAATTGATACTATTTTTAATCAATATTAGAAGTAGAGATAATGGTTTTCAAGCTTGGCAAGTCCTTTGTGGTTCAGTTGTTTCCCACATATTTAAGCTATAACGTTTTCAATATGGTACCAATGCATCCATGGTTCTAATATGATTATCAGTATAGAGGAGATGGGCATCCAGTTCTGTTGGACTATGTATAGAGACAAAAGTGTGCGATGTTTATGAGACACAACTATTCCCAGATCCAGCAGAGTTTTATAATAAGAAGCACAATAGGCATACAATTATCACAACCGAGATGATGATAAAACTCAAGAAATGTGCATCCAAAGAAAATAAGGAGTAGCTCCAATAGGTGATTAGATAAAGAAAAATTCAATTATACATATCTTCATATACAGTAATGTAATCTGAAGTGGTAAAAAATGATACAGGGACTTGCAATCTGACCGAAAGCATAGCCTTTGGTAAAGCACAATGGCAGGACAAGATTCATATACAGCAAAGGTCATCATCACTGATGAGAAGAATTGCAAAATAAGTTTGGAGTTGTAATCATTAATGGAGAATACTAGTTGATGTAGAATGGAATAATGAACTAAGATATGGATGACTGACATCAAAAGGTTGGAAGTTGGAACAACACTTCAATGACGACAATGATTGTGATTTCAGAGTCACTTTATTACTATGACCAAAATTTTAAGAATTGCTATATACCGTTTTTCTTTCTCATACTGAAAGAGATGTCATGTTTTTTATATATGCTGCTTCTCCTTCGTGGGTTGAGGAGTAATGTTTCTCAAATAGCCAAAGATATTATTTTTTACAAATAAACCTATATGTACTTTTAAGGAAAGGTCTCTTTTCACTTTTTATGAAAAAAAAAAACTTACTGTTTCAAATATAATATGCATATGGTAAAAAAGTATTCATATAAAGTTTGTCATCTCATGGATACTAACATCATATACCTATAGTAAAGAACGTAAGTAATTGTAAAAAGTAAATTATTGCTACATAGAGTCTATAGGGAAGATGGAATTTAAACACATCATTTATGTCAAATAAGCAGGGAATAAAAGAACATAATATGCATAATTATTCCTCATGAATCCAATGTTGGAGTCTGAAAGTGTCTAACAAGGGCACTCCATCCATTTAGGAGAACTTTTTCTTTTGATCAATCCATTTAGAGGAACAATGTAAAACTACTTTCAGGCCCACACCCGAAAGTTAACAAGAAAAGAATGCATCCCCCCCCCCCCCAATGTTTTCAAAAAATTGGCTTTCCCTCCATCAAAAGTGTCTGTGTGGCTGCCCATTTATGACAATAGTCCCCACATAGTAGGATGAGTAATGGCTTTCCAATACAACCATTCTCCTGAACAAGCACAAGTGACTTCCTGTCTAAGAATGTCAACCACCCACCCATTCAAGCCCCACCAAACCCATCTAAAATGAAGGAAGAAGTTTGTGGGATTGTTAATCAGGTTATGGGGTTATGTCTGATCAACAATTGCACAAACTCATTAAATCCACCAAACCCTGGAAAGCCCCCCTGCTAATCAGATTAATGTTTTTGGTGTGCCCATATCTATAAAAAAAATAGTTGTTGGTGTGCCCATATGATCCATTATCCCAGGATGGAGGTTCTTTTATAGACACGTATTATGTCTATGACAGGTATTGCAGAAATATATTAAGCTCAAAGAATTGAAGTGCTAAAAGGATGTGAATATTATAAAGTGATAGGGATCTTTGCATAAGAGCACTTATTTTTCATAAAATCAGTTACTGTAGAAAATATATTATGTCCATAGGATTCAAGTGCCACAGGGATATGAATTTATCAATCCATAATGACATGTGACAAGATCAATTAAATCCCCTAATCTGTTGTTTTTAGGGCCCATGAAATCAACCAAAAAATAAAAATAAAATAAACTCTGATTAGATGAAATAGACAGAATGTCCATCACTAATCAATCAGGAATGATATTTGGCTTTCTTGACCCAAATAAATGACAACTTAAAATCTGACCATCACCAAATAAATCAAGGCTAAATAGAGACTCAATATAACATGCCTGAAAAGGTGTAATTACTAGCCTATGTTTGGTGTGTATAGCATGTTGTACACAAAATATTCTTTCATTCATATCAATAAAATTTTATAGTTATTCATAAAAAAAACATGCCTCAAAAGGTATTTAAAAGTGCCAAATTGACAGTCAATATGAGATATGAAGCACACCAGTTGTGTATGCAAAATGTATGTGGTTTTTTTGGGCCGTTATAGACTTCTCAAGTGGAGGAAGTGCTTCTTCTATGTTTCGTACTCGAACCATCATCTTATGGCTTCTAGATGCAGTAGCCAATAATTGCTCCTGTAGGCCATGAAAAACCTCTGCTGCAAATCTATAAACACACCCAAGAACTTTCCTTAATAATTATACTTTGACAAATAACCTACAAATGTACATATATCAATCAAAAACTCAAAACCAGACATGTTCAAATTAATAGGATGATCACTTAAGGTTGAATGTCAACAAATAATGCAAATTTAAGGAGAAAAAGAAACAGTTGCAAATGTTAGAATGGGCACTCCAATTTGCATATTGTCCAAAGTTAGCACAAATCTGCATAATTTGAACAACAGCCTTTAAACCCACTACAATGTTTCAGCCATTTAGGGCATAACCGCATAATCCTATTATGGTGAACAAAACCATCAGGACAATGGCCATTACTTTGCTGTTGTAACAACAATTATTGTATATCTAGGACCTTTACCACTTCAAGATAAAATGACTTGCATATAAAATGAAAATCTCCACTACTGTTTTTGTTTGTGAAGTCCTGTTTTGTTTTGAATGGTGTAGTTGTTTGGTCTTTTGGGCAGAAAGGGTCAACTGGAGGGTCATACTTACCAATGTACTTGCTAGTTGAAGATGTTCCATGTCTGTAGATTGATACAGGAATCAAAAGCAGTGTATTTGATTATCTCAGTGTATGGAGATCTCAATTATCTCACTTTATCTCACAGATTCTTAGAAAAGTGTCAACAATTGCATCATTTTCAACTTTTTGAGTTAATTTAGTGAGTCATACAAGCTTGATTTTGTGTCAAAAATTTTCAAAGTAGTCCATAGTCATATTAAGAAGTCTAAAGGTCATCATTGATTAAAAAGCAGAAGACTAAAGCTCATTTTGAAGAGTTTTAATATGAACAACAAGACTCTTTCGGTGGTTAAATATCTTAAAAATGTAAATCCTTCAGGACTTACTACTAACGAAGAGATGACTTTCCCACGTTTGATGTATGTAAAAAAAGAAAAGAAAAAAAAAATCATGCATCGTACCAGACAACTCCTAAAGCATAAAGCAATGGGCACAGAAAACATAAACCCCTTTAAAGATATTAGTAATTGACAAACTACTAACATGACTAACTGAATAAAGACATCCTAAACATACAAAACTCTACATTTAAACCAATTTTTTTATTCTGTAAAGTAGTCGCTTCACATTGGATTATCAAAGTGGATCTCTAAGCTCTCCAAAATTCTCCAGTTTAATTCCATATCTTCATGGAAACATAAAAAAAAAAAGTAACTCCATTTTGTTGTATTGCATGGAGGACTACATTGAGCCTGAATGATTTCCCCGTCCACAATCACGCTGCTATATCCATATTCAAACAAGAACCAGCCCCAAATCTATTACCGTTCGAAGAAAGGCAATCTAAAGCAAAGAACTCTCAACAAGGGTAGGGCAGTTGGCCGAGAAAATAATCCCAGCAAAACAGTAACGTCACCTTATTATGAAGGTTAGAATAGAAACCAAAAACAAAATCACCCCGTAGCAGAGTTTCACACAGAACGAAGCTCGAACTCAATTAACTCCAATATAACCATTAGAAATTAAACATTGAGAACTTCACATTGCCAAGAAATACAAAGTTCATATTCAGGAAAATGAAGTAAAGACGCGAACAAATGAAAGAAAAGAAAATAAATAAATAAACAAAAAACTCACTCAGTCAGATCACCGAGCTGTCTTAAGATCCCAACAAGTCCAGAAACTGCTACTCCATCAAGAATAGCCTTTGGATCGTCCCTGTTTGCACCGTTGTAGAGCTCGGGAGTGCCCAAACCATACTCGTTCCTCACTTGAAACCGAACCAGAGGCATTGTTTCTTCTTCTACCTATTCTTCCTCTGGTCCTTCGCCTCCGTAGTGAAATCCTAAACTTTGAGAGGGATGGTCCCCTCAAACTGAGAGTTGCAGGCTTAGAGAAGAGAGGCCACAACAGAGCTTTAATGGCGCCAATGAATAACACAAAATATGAATAAATACAATAAATGGAGAAATGGTGAAGATGAGAGGGAGATTAGGTGATCGGACAGGAGCAGCTTAACTGCCAAGCAGCCTGGATCTCTCTCTCTCTCTCTCTGATCGAAGAGGTAACATTGCCAACTCTGCAAGGTATACTCTCGCACAAACATCATTACCGGTAACACTTAAATTTACATTCACACCCTCAAATTTCGTAAAATGACACATATGTCCCCACTCGACTCGTCTGTTGCTCCCGGCTCAAAAGACGAAAATAGCCCTACGGGTCACAACTCCAGATTTGACCTTAGTCCTTTGAAAAGTGTGTCTGTGTGCATATACTAGTCAAATAGTTCATAAATTTTTTATTCTGGATTTCTGTATTGTTTATGGGATACAGGGCCCACTTAATTAGGGTTTTCTTTCCAGTCTACAGACTTTGAGATCTTCATGGAATTAATGGGCTCCCCACTTTCCCATCTCTCAAATTCTTACTGAATTTTTTCCCAAAAAATAGTTTACTAAATTAGGTGGGAAAGATTTTCGACTAGTCGTCCAGGAATATGATTTACACGTGGCAGCATTTAAAAGGTAAAAATTTGCCACATCAACTTCTATGATATAGAATGCTTCAGCACAAGAATGATGTTTTGGTGGAAACAGAGTAACTTGTTAAAATGAAAATTACATTATCTGTAACTCTCCACCACTGTTAGCTAGCTTGTTTTAACCGATGAGGATTCTGTCAAATTGGCGCAACGAGAAAATAAAAGCCTCTAACAATTACATGGTTTTCAAAACCGGATCAGACCAGAAAAATCGGGAATCGGTCACTTAATTGGTTTCATTTTCTCCAAAAACCAGATTTTTCCTTAAAACCGCTGATTTTGATCAGCGAATCATTGAATCGGATGGTTAACCGTTCGAACTGTTAAAACTGTTTTGACCTTTTTTTTGAATTTTTTTTTATTTTCTGTTAGATGGATCAAGCGTTCAATTCGAATGGTCAGACCGTTTGATCCGATAACCAGACCCCTGACCAATTTGGTCACCAGGTTGGTTTTAAAAACCATCAACAATTAACAAACATCTGCAATATTCTATCTCAAAAACCAATAAAAAATGTCACATCAAAAGAAAATCACATTGTATTTTTTTTTTATTTAGTGGTTGTTTTTCTTTTAAAAAACAAAATCATACATATTGGCGATTAACAAGTTTAATACATCCAAACAAGAAGCGATGGTCAGGTAAGTGGACCTCACGTGCAAATAAAAATTGAAAACCCATATAATCTAACCCCACTCCACCCCACCCTTGTTCCTCCCCTACCAAATAAAAATTGAAAACCCCAAGAAAAGAAAAGCCAATGAGTGACAAACAAATTAGGATTCACATAGTCTAATTAGTGAGAGCCTGAGCCTCCCCATAAACCATAGCTCTTTTCTCAACTTTTGGTTAACTTAAGCAGCTGGTTTCTAGGGTTATGAGCCAGCCAGCACCCAACCATTAACAATGTGGTCCAGACCCACAAACAGTGGTGTAGATTCAAGAAATTCAGATCTCATGAAGATGGACTAGGGGCTCACCAGTCACCATGAATATAGGAAGGGGACTGGACTGCCCTAGGGTTACCATTTTCATCTGAGACACTGAATTTCAGTGTCCAAGTTAGAAGTTGGCATATGTGATGAATGGCCCCAAACATGATAATACATGGCTGAGAGGTTAGTGTCAGTGTCCTGGTGGGTGTCCAGTAGAGGAAACAGATGAACCCAAATCTGGGCTGGGGTAGGACAACCAAAATTGTATCCGTCCCCAAAAAGGTAGCCCTTATCTTTCTAATAGATGACTAAGAAAAAAATTTGGGTGTCTAGGCTGTCAGTAGGGCTCACCCCAAATTCTTTGTAACAGCATCCGTGTGTTCGATGCCGTGAGTGCTGCTCCGTATATATGAGACGGCCAATGTATTCTTTTAATAAATCAGCCACATGGGGTGAAGAGGACAATTCAGATCATCCATTGAATAGGCAAACCTTATGGCTAGGCAAGTGTTGAGTGCTCCCCTCCATGTATCTTTGTAGGGCTCCCAACCCCACCATACTCAACTTCACACTTTTGGGTGATGATTCTGTCCTCAAATCTCTCTCTTTCTCTCAATTTCAAATTAAATATCAAACTTGAGAAAATGACAAAAAGATAAAAAGACAAGGATTTCATTAATCTGGCTGAATCTTGCCACATGAGAAGCCAATTATGTGATGTACATGTTCATGTTGATTACTTTTGAACTACCTCAAATTAAGGTGCAAAATAGAATTAGATATATCTAAATCCAAAATTGATTTATTAACATTCGGATTTACACACAGACAGAATCATATTTGCTTGACTTATATTAAATCCGAATCAAATTTAGATTGCAGTGGAACATTGAACAACATTAACACATTAAACTACAATTTATTGAAACATTATATTATTAATAAAATAAACTAAAAATGACTTGAATTTTGTACTATGAACAAATTGAATTGAAAATAATTTCTACGGAAATTACACTTATGACAACATTTTAGTAAAAACACAACATTCAAACCGACTTTATTAATATATGAATATTATGTATATTTAAGTCGAATTGATTAATCCTATCAGATTGTTTATGGGTGGATTGTTTGGTCCAATTAGAAATGAATCAGAAGTGGACCACCCTTAATCAGATCGAATTCAAAACTATATTCGGACTAATGGATATGGTTAGCAGCCACAAATTTTTTTTTTTTTTTGGATATTACTTTTTAAGTGAACTGTACAACATCACATCAATAGTCAAGTGATCACACAATTTATATACATGATAATAGTGAGATCTGAAACCACACCACCATTGGGACAATTCATGCAATGCACCAACTAGGCTACCCCTTAATTTCAGCCACAATGTTAGATAATGTGGTAACACGAATCTCTTTGCTACTGAAACCAAAGTTTAAGGTATCGATACTCTTGATGCATTTTTTAGGTGTATCCAAGGTTTTTGAAACATCAGAACTCTACTTTATTATTAAATTTTTGTTTTGATAGTTGAGCAGTACAACATCTATTAGGTTGGGCCTGTTTGCGATGTAAACCTCATTGATGTAAAAATCCATCGCCGGTTCAGTTTTGTCAGATTTGTTTACAGTGTAAATCAAGATCGATGTAAAAGTCCACTCTCAATTCAAATTTGTCGGTGTTTGGATGGAGTGGGGTTTTACACCTAACTTATAGTAGAATTTTACATCGATTAACAATGTAAATATTACACCGATAAAATTCATGTAATATTACATCAATGATCATGCTTTTCAAAGTTCAACAGTTAGAGATTTTAAAATGTTAGATGTAAAACTCCATCAATGGACTTTTATATTGATGAGGCTTTACACTGCAAAGAAACACAATCTTAATGACTTAATCATTTAAAGGGTTTAAAATCCTAAAAACACATGTATTGATAACCCTAGAAGTTGATATATATATCATATGATATGCATAATACATTACAATATTTTAAACCTTAAGACTTCGTTTGAAAACAATGCAAATAAGTGTGAATGTAAATATATAGAGTATAAAACGGTCTATATAAATTGCAAAATTGGGTTAGTTTTGCACCTGTAAATTTACCTTCTTACTAAACAAACTTTTTACTGTAATGGATGTAAACACGAATTCCAATAAAACATATGCCTTTTTTATCAAAAGCCTACTTGAATGCTTTTTATTAATGTACTTTACATCTTATCATTAATGTAAATATGCATTGAAAAATGTATTTTTTTTTTTTGTGTCATTTATCAGTGTATAAATATAATATTTCCAAATACAAGCAAAAATGAACCAGAATGTAAATTTACCCTGAATTGGAATTTACACTCCATTTGCATCAAACGCAGCCTAACTGAAACTCATCCTCGCAATAAATTTCGCCTTGGAGGTTTGGTTGTTGAGTTAAAAAAAAAAAACCTGCCCAACCAACATTATTACTCAAAATATCTTGAAATAGGAAGCAAATATATCTTTTTTTTTGTAGAAAAGGAAAATATATTTTCTATTCATTAACGGGTACCCAACATGGGAAAGGGAGTACTCACAGATAAACGTGTCCCACTTCGTCAAGCTGTATGGATACATGATCTGAACCAGCAGGCCCAGTTAATAATCTAGTACCAAACAATGAAACATTAATTGAAGACAGTTTCGAGGTGGGTCTTGGTTCAAGGTGGAGCCCTCACATTGAGGAACGACAGTTTTGACCAGTGGATTGGAATTTTAAGGGCATTGCCAGTACAAAGGTGGGGATGAGTTATGATTTATGAGTGATGGTCTGTGGCTGTTGGGTGGAGGATTCCAATTTGATACTGGAGAGTACCACCCATTTGAGGGACCTCTCTTTCAATTCAACCCCTTTTCTAAACAAAACATGGATTTTTCGTTTCCGTATTTCTAAGATTCAATCCCTTTTTTGTTATAGAGCCTGAGCTTTGTTTCATCTTCTTTATTTTATTTCTAAGAACAATTCTCTCAATTAGTCTGTTTGTAATTTAAAAATATGATTCATCATTGAACCAGACAGCCTAAAAGATGACCCGAGGCAATCTACACAGCTGACCGGTTCTCTGATTCTGGTTCATTGAGTTAACGAATGGGGAAAGTCCATCCCTCGTACCCATATGGCCATAATCCCCAATCCCCAGTTGCAGCAAGATTTGATCCCAACCCAAGTCTTTATTGGAATGAACCACCCACCATACAAACGGGCCCATCCATCGGTTTGTAGCATATTGATATTTTGGACCATAGCTGTGGGCTGTTTTGATTGTTTTATCACAAATCGGCTGGTTGAATTTGGTTCCATGTTACCCCCCCCTCTCTCTCTCATACAAACATATCATCCAGTTTGGACTAATTAGGTCCAAGAAAGATGGGACCAATTAAAAATCAGCCTGGGCCCAGAATTTTAGTGATACACACATCGTTGGGGCCAACAGCATTAATTGAGAAGGACGTACCTGATGTAATTAAGTAAGGCAGGTGAAACAAATTTGTAAGACCTGCACCAGAGTGGTCCTGGTTAGTGGGGTTGATGGCCTA